GTATGAAACACGATTGCAACAGCTCATGTTGGGGCCGGCCCATCATGCAAGCGAAACAGTTAGTTGTTCTCTATCAACTTGTTCGAATGACCCACCCATTAGTGGGCCACCTTCGCGTTGCTCGTTCCACAGGGAAGGGAACACGTATGGAGCACGATTACACCAAGTGATGTAGAGGCCGAAAATGCAAGTGACACAGGTGGCGTTTGTCAGCCACTTGTCGGGTGACCCAACCACTGGTGGGTCACCAATGCGCCGCGCGCTACACGGGGGAAGCACATGGAGTACAGTGGAGGCCCATGCCAAGAAACACCTTGCTTGCCTCCAGGGTGCCCTGGGCTTCTTGGGCCTCGATGGTTTTGCGGTGGACTGGCGTGACGCCCCCACGCCAAAAGCCAGTGGACGCCCTGGGGTCCCAGGGCTGGGCCTCCTGTGGAAGCTTTCTTGTGGACGGGCCTCCACTGCGCGTTGGTCAGGAGAGGAAAAAACACACAGACACAATTAATCGTCGATTCCCAGGAAAATATGGGAAAATATGGGTAGTGGGGGGAAGACAAAAACCCATAAAATATGGGAAAATATGGGGAATCTGTTTATTTGTGTGTATTTATTTGTGTGTCCTGGGGCCTCTTCAGTTGGCCAGGCAGGGCCGGTTCCCTTGGCCGTCCTTGGGCGCGCCGCCGCTGCCCTCGGTCGCTCTCTCCTTCGCGGGCGGACGCCGCCTGCGGGACGCGGGCCAGGCAGGGCCCCCCCTCGGCCGTCCTCGGGCGCGCCGCGCCCCGCCTGCAGCCGTCGCCCCCTTCGCGGGCGGACGCGGCCCGAAGGGCGCGGGGCAGGCACGGGGGCCCGTGGCGCGCCCTGGCGCCCGCAGCATGCGCCGCGCTGCCTCCTCCTCCTCCTCCTCCTCCTCCCCCTCCTCCTCCTCCTCCTCCTCCTCCTCCTCCTCCTCCTCCTCCTCCTCCTCCTCCTCCTCCTCCTCCTCCCGCCCGACTGTGTACGCCCAGCCGTGGCGTCCGTGAGGCTCTATCGTGGTGGGTGCTCTTCTGTCCGAGTGCGTTCGCGCTCGGTCGCCGGACAGGCTCTGCACAGATCAGCGGTATCGGGTGCGTCTGACCGGGAGGTCCAGAAAAGCAGGTGCCCTTTGATGTCGGCGCCGTGCCCAGAGAGAGAGAGAGAGAGAGATGGAGAGAGGAGAGAGAGAGAGAGAGGGAGGAGGAGGAGGAGGAGGAGGAGGACGTGAGGGCGCCCTTGCGCCCCTGCGTGGTTTTTGGCCTTGGGCCCCGACGCCAAGTCGGCAAGGACGGGGGCGGGTTCGGTCTCGGTCGCCCGCCGCCCGACACACGGATCCCCGCGTCGGCCTCCCAGGGCCTCGCGCCCCTGCCACCCGCCCTCATCACACGCTGTCGCTGCATCGCCGCTCTTCCTCCTCGTCCCTCTTGTCTTCCTCCGTCCTGCCCCCTCTCGTCGGCGCCGTCGCGCGCTCGAGGCGGGGCGGGCGGGGTGATCCAGCGAACGGGCACGTGCGCGCATCGGCGTTCATTGGGACTGCCCTCCTCCTCCTCCTCCTCCTCCTCCTGCTCGTCCTCCTCCTCCTCCTGCTCGTCCTCCTCCTCCTCCTCCTCCTCCTCCTCCTCCTCCTCCTCCTCCTCCTCCTCCTCCTCCTCCTCCTCCCCCCCACAGTGGCAGCATTGGCGTTCCTGGCGCTCCCCGCCCGAGTCGTTGAAGACATCTTCGGATTTCGGGGGGCGCCCGAGGCTCGTCCGTCGGGGACGGTCGCGGGCGGGAGGGCGGCTTGGGGAGCCCATCGCGTCACAGTGGGGGGCCCGATGCTGTTTTTTCCAATCCGAGCGCCCTCTCCAAAAACACCGGGTGTCGCTGAAGACCGGTGCTTTTAATCTGTCAGGCCGGCTGGGCATTTTTCGATCGCTTGCGTTGCGGAAGTTGTCCTTTCGGGGGAAAAAAAACATTGCTTGCCTCCGGGGTGCCCCGGGTCTCGTGGGTCTCGATGGTGCTGCTGTGGACGGCGCGACGTCCCCACACCAAAAGTCGATGGGCGTCCTGGGGTCTCAGGGTCGGGTGTATTGTGGGAGGTCTCTTGTGGTCGGGCCCCTACTGTATGTGTGGACCCCGAGCAACTTATCGGACTACGTTTTCCCCCAGCCGTTGCGGAAGTTTGTTCGGGGAATATTTCGGAGACAAAGAAGGGGGGATCAGGAGAGGGAGGAGGACGATATGGAGAATGAACAGCAAGAAGAGGTGGTCTCTTCGAGTCCTCGCGGAATCTCATGGAGTTGTTTGGCGGCCATTCGATGCCATGTGCGGCCGTCTGAGGTTGTCGGAAGCCCGAAATGGCAATCACAAAGTGAACGAATTTGAGTTTGAGCCTCTTGGGTGCCTCCTCGAGGTCCTCCTGGAGCAGTTCGGAGCGTCTCGACAGCCTCTTAGGCCGTCTGGAAGCCATCTGGGGCCGTCTTGGATCGATACTGGGCCGCCTTGGAGGCACACGCGGGCAATCGTGAGGGCATCTTAGCTCTTAGCCGTTTTGGAGGTGTCTTGGGACCGCCTTGGAGGCTATATTGGGCAATCTTGGCCGACTTGGGGGCCATCTTGTGCCTTCTTGTGGTCCTCTCGGGCAGGCTTGTGCCCGCAGTGGGTCTTCGGAAGCCGTGCAAGCCGAGAGCGCCAACAGCTCTCCGAAACCGAAGGGGGATCGATGCCTCTCTGGTGTCGTCAGGGCTTCCGGAAGGCCTCCTGCACTTTGGTTGAGCCGCCTTGAGGGCATCTCAGGCCGTCGTGAGGTCGCCTTGGAACGCTTGAGGCAGTTTGGGAGGCTCTCTTGGAGAGCAACCTTGGAGCATCTTGGACGTCCCTCGGGGCCACTCGGAAGTGCTCCTGGGGCAATCCTGGACCATCTGTGAGACCTCCTGGACCCTCTTGAGGGCATCTTGGGCGTCTCGGAGCAATCTTCTGTGGCGACTCGGGGCGCTCTCGGAGCGTTTGGGGGCCTTTGGGGGATTTCTTGGCTCGTTGTGGGGCCTCCTTGGGTCGGAAAGGTCCCACGAGAACACGCGGGTGCACACGGGAACGCACGGGAGAGTCTGGGAGCTCCTGGTCGCGTCCCGAAGTCCAGGCTGTCGGCCCCCCTGACAGAGTAGTTATGGCCCAATGCGACGGACTCTGAAGGACCTCCTTGCGTAAGACCTGTGGCAAGGCACGGTGCGGGATGTGTGCATGCGCATACATATGCGTGCCTTTGTCCACGTACTTCTACGTACACCGTGAGCTGGCCAGTCTCAACGATCTCAACCTCCTCGTGCTGCTCATCTCCCCCACCGCTTTCCTGGACCCCGAACACTGGCAGCACGAGCATGAGAGGGAAGGGGAGGATAACCAGGATCGGGTGTTGGTAGAAGTGCCCCTGGCCCAAGGTGCCCCCATGATTTCCGAGTATGCCCCAACGGCCTCCAGTAGTGATGGTGGTGATGATGTGTATGTGTATGTGTAGATAGAACGCAGGAAGCGGAAGAGATGGGAGCGGGGCGGCACAACGATGTGGCTCAAGCTTTTTTCCGAGGCCGCTCAGGCGTTATCCGACGTGGGTTCAGGCCATCGAGTGGAGCACCCTTCACGAGGCCCAGAGGGCCCCAGGGGGCTCCGAAGTGTAGCGAAACGCTGGGGGCACCTTGAGCCCAGGGCACCTTCAGCAACCCCCCGAGAGGAGAACGAGGAAGAGGATTTCTTGGATCAAGTCGGGCGTGTCCCTCTGCAGGAGGAAGACTCAAGGATGTGAAGTAGTAGTCTGGTGATGATCTTTCGTGCTTGTCTGGCGATCCTTGCACCTTTCTCGTAGACTGAGCACTACTCCGCGTTTCAAATGCAGGGATTGTGTTTGTTCTTTTGAAGATTTTGAGAGATTCGAATATTCCCTTCAAAAGATGTGGAGGAATCGTCAGCCGTCGGAATGCATTTCTCGAGATCACAAGCAAGCTAGAAAACGTCAGTATTTCTGCATCGGTTCTACGTTCTTTCGACCATGTTTTCTTGTTCTTCTGAACTCCGCCTGTAGGAGGGCATGCCCGACCTAGTTCTTGGGGCTTCATGGGGGCCTTCCGGGAGCCTCTCTGTGGGCTTTCGAAGGGCCGCGCGAGGCCGCCCTCGAGCCATGCCAGGTCGCATGGTGAGAATGGGCAACCTTCCCAAGGGTACCCTTGCATCCTTGCCTCCTCGGTCCATCCTTCGCCGCTTTCGCTGGCCGCGCCCCGCTCGAAAAGCTTCGAAGTGGGCGCCCAGGGCCCTTGCATCCTTACCGCGCATCCTTACTATATTGGTTGACTGTACTTGGGGCAGTTTACGGGCCGCCTTGAGGCCATCCTGGGCCGACAGAAGAGCGCCGCTCCCAGCTACAACGTTGGAGCGACCAACTCAACGACATGAGTTGCGACCGGTGGGCCCGACGAGTCCGCGACTGGATGCCTGACGGACGCAGAGCCAGAGGACTCCCTATTAGAAGATGGTCCGACCAATTTTTGCTGAGCCCGTAGGGGCACGTAGCCGCGCGCGCGGCCCGTACTCAGCTTTCCTCCCTTCCCTCCTTCCCAGCAGACCCCCGACCACGGCCGGCCCGTCATCCTTTGAGCCGTTGTTGTTGACGCTCCCAGAGCCTGGCGAGGGCCCCCGAAGGCCGAAGATTGCGCAACAAGTCCGCGCTCAGTCTCTCGAGACCTTGGGAGGTCTGGGTATAGACACCGAGCAAAGCCGGTGCTGGCGCCGCCGGTGACGACGACGACGCCCTCAGACGACGACGACGACGCCGACGACGCCGACGACTCCGACGACGCCGACGACGACGACGCCGACGACGCCGACGACGCCGACGACGCCGACGCCGACGCCGCCGACGACGACGCCCTTCGATGACGACGACGACGACGACGACGACGACGACGACGACGACGACGACGCCCCCCGCGCGCGAACCGGCCGCGCCGCCGCCCCGCCAGGAGGCTCCTCGGCGTCCGCCGGCAGGCCAAGGGCGCCCGGCAGGCCAGTGCCACAGGCCCGCCGCGCCGGGCCGCTGCCGCCGACGCGGCGGGCGCCGAGCAGGCCGCCGAGAAGGCCGCCGCGTCCTCCTCTCCCTCCTCCTCCTCTCCTCCTCCTCCTCCTCCTCCCCTCTCCTCCTCCTCCTCGTCCTTTTCCTGCTCCTCCTCCTTCCCCTCCTCCTCCTCCTCGTCCTCGTCCTCGTCCTCCCCCCCCTTTTCCTCCTCCTCCTCCTGCTCCTCCTCCTCCTCCTCCTCCTGCTCCTCCTCCTCCTCAAACTTTAATATTGATGGCTAAGGCCCACACAGCATACCTAGGACAGACCGCCCCCCCTGGCCAGAAACGTTCGGACCAGCGTCGTCGACGTCGTCAGTCGAAAGCCGAGGGGGCGGGTTCTGTGAATTTCCGCCACAATTTTTACACTGTTGCTGGAGGATGGAGGTGTTTCACGCGTGGGAGAAACACTCGGTCTGAGCAGCAGCATCGATTTTTGGCCAAGCGAATTTGCCCTGCGAAAGCGTCTGCCTCCGCTCGTGTCTCTGGCGGGGGGGTGGACGGTGGGTGCGGGGGCAGTGCTGCGATGCGAGCACGTTCAAGGTCGCCAGCAGAGCAGCCTGAACAGGAGCGCTCGGTCGTCAGGAGGGAGAGGGAGGACCCCCCCCCCTCATCCGACCTGCCCGCCTTGCCTCGATTGCCTTCCCGAGCGACGGTGACAGGCGAGTTCGAGTTCGACCCGCGGCTGGCGACAGTGTCGCTGCCGCTGCTGCCAGACGGCGGCGCCCTGCCTCCCCGCCTCCTGAGCCTAACCCACCGCGGAAGGCTCGTCGAGCGGCTCCCCGCGGGGGCTCCTGCGCGCCGGGTGCTCCGCCCGAGCGAGAGTTGCCCACGTCTGGCGATCTCCCCGCAAACGCTGCTAGGGGCCACGCACTTTCGGTCGCCCCAGGCAACGTGGTGATCTGCACGGTGTGCGGGGGGCGTTTCTACGGGGCGAGCTTCGTCCCTGTTGGACCCCTGCACCCCACCCCCCTCCAAGAGAGGGGTATCACACATGCATAGGTTTAATCACACTAGGCACCCAGCGGACCTCCAGCGGCACGAGGAAATCTCGGGGCAAAGGAGACTGCAGGTTGCTGACCCAGAGGTTGCTTGGCTCCGACTAGACGCCTAATCTTCTGCAATGGCCCGCCGTTGCATTTCATATACATACTTCGAGCTTCACTTTCTTTTGCTTAGCTCACTCGCGCTGTCGCGCCTCTCCGCCGAGAGCCTTCGGGTGGGCAATGAGAGTGGCGCGCGTGCAGCGCTGGCCCGCCCTACAGTGGGTGTGCCTTTCTCTGGTGGCCGTTTGTGCATTGCGCGACGGATCCCCTCTATGCTGCGTACTCCTCCTCGTCCTCCTCCTGCTCCTCCTCCTCCCCCTCCTGATCCTCCTCCTCCTCCTCCTCCTCCTCCTCCTCCTCCTCCTCCTCCCCCTCCTCATGCTCCTTCAACATTCGTTTTCCTCGGGCGTTTCGCTTGAAACTTCATTACCGTTTATGATTCTGAAGCTTACACATTGGCAATGGTTTCACATATGGAGGGCGAGTCGTATTCAAGGTGTGGCTCTCGCCTCAGCGTGGCGCACATTCGTTTTAAATATTCACAACAATTCGCAGATGGAGGGCGGATGGTTTTCAAAATGTGGCTCTCGCTTTAGCGCGGCACAATCGTTTTAAAGAAATGCAAGAGGTTCATGGATTGAGGGCCAGTCGTTTTCAAAATGTGGCTCTCGCCTTAGCGCCGTGCACATTCGTTTTAAGCATTTGCCAGAGTTTCACGGATTTTGGGGGGGGTCAAAATGTGGCTCTCGTTTTAGCGCCGCGCATATTCGTTTAACAAAATTGCAAGAGCGTCATGGATTGAGGGCGGGTCGTTTTCAAAATGCGGTTCTCGCTTAGCGCCGCACACAGTCGTTTCGCGTTTCATGAATTGGGGGCGAGTGGTTTTCAAAATGAGGCTCTCGTTTTAGCGCCGCGCAAATCCGTTTAGCAAAATTGCAAGAGCTTCATGGATTGAGGACGGGTCGTTTTCAAAATGTGGCTCTCGCCTTAGCGCCGCGCACATTCGTTTTTTTGTTAAATTTGCAAGAGTGTCACGGATTCCCATGATCAACGTACCAAAAAAGGTGTCTTGGAAGGGTTCAGGATTGTGCGGGGGCAAAGGAGGAGGAGGAGGAGGAGGAGGAGGAGGAGGAGGAGGAGGAGGAGGAGGAGGAGGAGGAGGAGGAGGAGGAGGAGAAGGGGAGGAGGAGGAGGAGGAGGAGGAGGAGGAGGAGGAGGAGGAAGGAGGAGGGAGGAGGAGGGAGGAGGAGGAGGAGGAGGAGGAGGAGCAGGAGAGGAGCAGGAGGAAGAGCAGGAGGAGGAGGGGCAGGAGGAGGAGGAGGAGCAGGAGGAGGAGGAGGAGGAGGAGGAGGAAGAGGAGGAGGAGGAGCAGGAGGAGGAGAGGCAGACGTGGGCGCCTGGCATGCCCTGCGCCCCAGGAGGACGCGGCGCCCAGCGGCCAGTGGGGCGCAAAGGCGTTGCGGCTCGGCGTGCTGGTCGCGGCCGCCGCGGGCGTCGCAGGCCGCCGTCTCGACATCTCCCGGTGGTGGGGCGACCTGGCGGCCGCGGACACGGCCCCGCCGAGTCTGGAGGACTCCTCCTCCTCCTCCTCCTCCTCCTCCTCCTCCTGCTCCTCCTGCTCCTCCCCTCCTCTGCTCCTCCTCCTCCTCCTCCTCCTCCTCCATCCTCCATCCTCCATCCTCCATCCTCCATCCTCCATCCTCCTCCTCATGCTCCTCCTCCTCCCCCATCATCCTCCATCCTCCACCTCCTCCTCCTTTTCCTCCTCCTCTTCCTCCTCCTCCTCCTCCTCTTCCTCCCAGGGACGCCCGGCATCCATCGAGGAAGACAAGAACATCAAAGTGAGTTCTCGAAGGTCCGCGCGGACTATTTGGATTTTCGCTGGGGCCCCCTGGCGGCGCCTCTGGCGCTGCCCTGGTCGCGCTCCGCGCGCGCTCAGGATGGGGATCTGGCGCCGATCCAGGAAGTCCGCGAGGACCTCCGAAAGTTCAGGTTCCTGTAGTGTGATTCTTCTAATCCAGGCCCCCTGGCGTCGTGGAAGGGTCACGGCGGAGAGCTTTTGTCAAGTTTCGGCCTCCAAGGGCCACCTCTATGCCCCATGGCCGTCAACAGAACGACTCCGACCTCTGGAGGCCTCCAGTGGCCTGGAGGGGACCCAAAAAGGGCGAAACGCAGCTAAACACCTCGATCCTCCTCCTCCTCCGCCTCCTCCTCATCCTCGTCCTCGATCCTCCTTGATCCCCCGTCATCCGCAGCAACGCGAGGGGGGGGCCAGTACGTGATTCATCGTCAGGCCCGACCCTCCTGGCCTGATCGGTTCGGGCAGATCCCGGGCCCAGGGTCGGCACAGGCGGTCGCTCGCGGCTTGGCCAGCGGCCGGGGATCGCTGGTGCACGGGTCACAGAGCCAATGGGGGAGGAGGAGGGATGGGGGGGAGGGGGGGAGGGAGGGAGGTGGAGGAGGAGGGAGGAGGGAGGACGGAGGAGGGAGGACGGAGGACGGAGGATGGAGGGAGGGGGACGGAGGATGGAGGAGGAAAAGGAGGAGGAGGAGCAGGAGAGGAGGAGGAGGCGGAGGAGGAGGAGGAGGAGGAGGCGTAGGAGGAGAAGGAGGAAGTGGAGGATGAGGAGGATGAGGAGGATGAGGAGGATGGGGGATGGCGGATGGAGGAGGGAGGGAGGAGGGAGGATGGAGGATGGGGGATTGAGGACGGTGGATGGAGGGAGGGGGACGGAGGATGGAGGACGGAGGAGGGAGGATGGAGGAGGGAGGATGGAGGAGGAGGAGGAGGAGGAGGAGGAGGAAGATGATGAGGAGGAGGAGGAGGAAGAGGAGGAGGGGGAGGAGGAGGAGGAGGAGGAGGAGGAGGAGGAGGAGAAGGCGAGGAGGAGCAGAGGGGGGAGGAGGCGATGGAGGAGGAAGAGGAGATCCTGATTGGTATGATTGCCTCCCTGCTACCGCACATCTGCTGTGGCAGGCTCAATGCCTATACGGAGGCCACATCGCCTAAGTAGGCGGTGCACTGCTGTGTTCTGTTGTGGCCATCTCATTGACGCTACGGTTCACAACGTCGCAGCTAGACAAGACACGTCGAGCCAACCGCAGACTACAGAATTTCATGATTCTACTCAAGATGGCACAACACACCACCACGCCAACCATGATGCCCTCCAAGCACGAGGAGCAACATGCAAGGACCAGCATCTGGCTGATACCACAGCTCCGATAACTATATGATGAAGCACAACACATCGACTTCGACCTATGTACAATGGGCAGTGCCACCCGCAACCCGACCAAACTGAGCACCTGGCATGTGCCAGAACTTACACGGGACAGCAAAAACGCACTCATTGCAGATGCGATTGGACATCACACGACGTAGATACAAGAGAGACCCTGAAGGGTAGCTACACCATACCACAGATGATATGTCAACTAACCACCAAGCGCATAGCTAATATTAGCTCACTACCTCCAACCACAGGCACCCCACGGCTACGACGAACACCTGCCACTCGACCCATACCTCGACTGCCACATCACAACACAAACAAACTTTACAGCAGAGCCACTCACCAAAACAATACATTACCAATACCACCATCCTTCACACATGACGCCAACAGCAGCATGGTATGTTCCTAGCCTCTAATTCACATCGACACCAATACGATGCATACAACCAGTATATTTACCGACACATACACACACGACCACAGACGCACCCCCGACCAGGCCGACAACACGACCAGCTGACTTGGCAGCCGCTCATACGACTAAACGCATCTGGACCCACAAGGCACAGTATCAGACAACGACGCCGCCACACATGGTAATAAATGGAACAGTTTACATGGCATCCGTTCAATACGCTGTCCAGCACACGAGCACTGCCCAGCACGACGGTTCACAGCAAACAAACGACTACCAGCACCACAACCAGCACCACGACCAGAAGCTCCACGAATGCAGCGAATACGCGCCTCATACCTTGCACGGCAGCCTACGAAGGCAGACTTGGGGGAGAAGCTTGGCTACAGCCAATTGGTAAGACATGGTGTCAGGTATTCGTACACATCCTCCCAATGAAATCAATCGCGGTTGAAGTTCACACCATCATGGACGCAATTCTTCACGTTTCGCGTATCCCCACCAGCCCGTTCAGAAACCTTGCCCATGAGAGCTAACGGGGAAGGGGACGAAGAGACGCATACGGTGAAACAAAGCGGGCACCCAGAATGACCAGAGAAACCTCTGGGAGCAAGGGGTGGCCTTGGAGGGCCTCTTCGGGCCGTCCGTGGGGCACTCGGGGGGCGAGGGGGGAGGAGGAGGAGGAGGAGGAGGAGGAGGAGGAGGAGGAGGAGGAGGAGGAGGAGGAGGCGAACCGCCTCTTGGGGCCCTCGTGGGACGCTCGTGGACGCGCCGCCGTTTGCAGCGCGTCGGCGTGCGACTCCTGCGCTGCAGCCCGGAAGCCTGGCGCTGGCTCGGCAGCAGCGCGCTGATGTGTTCCAGACGGAGTTTTGGAGATTACGTGGGCCGTGTTCGTTTCGACCTCGTTTTGCGGTAGAGGTGGATTGAAGACAAAGCGAGGGAAAACGGAACCAGAGCGACAACGAAAAGCACCGTTTGGGTTCAGCCCTGTTCCTTCTGGTGCGGTGGGGGCCCATGCCACAGAACACCCTGCTCGCTTCCAGGGTGTCCTGGGTTTCTTGGGTTTCGACGGTTTTGCGATGGAGAAAGCTCGGGCATAGCCAGGACCCCAGGTAAGGGGACCCGGTTAGTGGTACAGTGCCGTTTTTAATGCATGCTCCGCGTGCGGATCATGTATTAGAAATGCAGGGATGTAGTATTAAAAACAACGCTGAGCCTTACAAATCCTATGTTCTTACACAAAATCCCATGTATTAAAAACTGCCCTGTACTGTCTCTGCCCCCCCACGGCAGGCTCCGTGCGACGCCTCGGCGGCGCGCGGAGGGTGGAGGGGTGGGGCACGGGGCGCAGGCGTCTGAGAGGAGGCCGCTCGAGAAGCACCTCGGCCCCGTGCCTCGCGGGGGCGCCCCGTGGGGAAGCCCCGTGGAAAAGCCTCGTTGGGAAGCCTCGTTGGGGAGGCCCCGGAAGCCTCCTGGGGACGCCTGCCGGGCCCCGCTCGGAGAAGCTCGCGTGCCGCCTCGGGAGGGCCGCTCCCGCTGCCCCGCCTCCCGGCCCCAAGTCCGCCGCAATCTGGCCCTCGGACCCAGACCCCTCCCTCCGTGTCCCTCCGAATAGGTTTCGGCGGCGGCCGAGATGCCGGGGGGGGATGACTTGCGCATGGGGGGGAGTTCATTGCTGGGGGCAGGGCATCTCTTTGGAATCCATGGCCCCCATTTTCAACGCATCCCTTGGTCCCGCCCGTCCGCGCGCATGCCTGGGGCCCTGCTTTGCGACCCCCCCCTCTTGGACGCCCCCAGAAGTTTCCCGTTGCCATTTTGGCTCAAGCCATTTTTTACCTAAGGTATTTACAATGTGGCTCAAGCCGCGATGCCCTGTCTTCTCGGATGCTGGGCATCGGCCGAGGGTCTCGAGAAGGCGCTATCTCCCTCGAAGCGTCGATCAAGACCTACGGTCGGACAAAACAATGGAGCGCAGCACTGCGGTTGCTCCGCGAAGGACTTCGATTAGGTGTGCAACTTGTCCCAGGCCACTACATTGCGACTGCCAGCGCATGTAGAAAAGGCGGGCAATGGCAACACGCGCTGTCAGTGCTCAGTGACATGGGGAAGGCGAAGCTGGAGCCCACCGTCATCTCTACAATGATGCAGCGTTCACCGCTCGCCACATGGGCGAGCAGTGGCAGTGGACCGGCCCCATCTGGCGGCCACCAGCGCGGCCCCGGGGCTCTGGCGCGCTTCCAAGATGGTTTCGGGGCGCTCCGAGCCGCCCCCGGAGGCCCCCAAGAGGGCCCGAAGACGGCCGAAGACGGTCCAAGAGGGCCTCCGAGACGGGCCCCGAGCGCTCGAAGACGCCCAAGATAGCCGCCCGACAGCCCAAGATGCTTCCAAAATGCTCCAAGTGGGCTCCACAGAGAGCCCCCGGAGAGACCGAACAAATAGAAATCGTCGCAATTCCGATGGAAAACGTACATTTCGGGAGTTCCCCTACTTTTCATCTCCGAAGCGTCCACGACGGCCTCACAAGCCCCCAAGATCGTCCCAAGACGCCTCAGGAGGCTGCCAGGAGGGCCCCTAAGACGGCTCAAGACTGCGCCAGGACGGCTCCTCAGGCGCCCATGGCGGCCCCAAGAGGGGGTGGGAGCGCTCCCGAGGGGCTCCAAGAGGTGGCCAGCAGGGCCCCAAGAGGGCCCCGACAAGGCCCCATGATGCATGTACTTGGGTGCCCCTCTCGCAAGCTCAAGAAGCATGTCGAGTACATGCGTTTTGGGGCCCTCTTGAGGCCGCCTGGGGGCGCTCTTGCGGCCCTCTTGAGGTCTTCGGGCCCCTCCAAGACAGGGCTTGGTGCATTCTGCCACAGACAGGCCTCTCGTGGCAGAATGGTGGGCCCGCGCTCGGCGGCGTCCTGGGGCCTTCTTGGAGCCATCTTGGAGCCCTCTGGGGGCCCTCTTCGTGCACCCTGCCACGACGTCTCGCCGCCAGTGGCAGCAAGCACGGGTGCACACTACACCTTATGCGATGCTTAAGAAAACTTATTTTTTCGGCCAGAGTCTCGATTATTCTTAATATTTCAATGTAAATCTTAAGATTATAATAGAAATGTTGGGTTTTTATTCACGTTCTGAGACTATGAATTTCTTAACCCATGATTTCTTAAGCATTTCGCAGGGTGTAGTCTCTCCTGCAATGGCTGCCCTAGCGCTCGCGGAGGTGCCGATCGGTGGCAGCGGGCCAGCCCCCTCCGGCGGCCCTTGCGAGCCCCAGCAGGCCTCGGAGCGCTTCCAAGATGGCCCAAGAGGATTCCGAGACGCACCAAGAGGGCCCCCAGACGGCCGAATTCGGTCCAAGAGGCTTCCAAAACGCTCCACGTGGGCTCCACGACGAGCCTCAAGGAGCCCGAACTCCGAAAAATCGTCCCATTACTTTTGGAAAACGTATAGTTTGGCAGTTCCGGGACTTGCCTTCTTCATGGCGTCCAAGACGGCCATACAGGGTCCCAAGATGGCCCCAGGACGGCTCCTGAGGCGCCCCTGGCGGCGCACGGGGTACCCAAGACAGCTTCAAGAGCGGCCCAGGACGGCCCAAGACGACCCCCAGACGGTCCCAAGACTGCTCCAGAGACGCCCAAGACGGCCCCAGACAACCCCCAGACGACCCAAGACGGCCTCAACACGACCCAAGAGGCACTCGAGACAGCCCAAAAGGGCCCCAGAAGGCTTCCAGGAGGCCGAAAAGAAGCGCTGAGAGGCTCCTAAACGACCCCCAGAGGCCCCAAGATGACTGCCGAAAAAGCACCGAAGACAGCACCAGCAGCAGCCAAAGACGGCCTAAGACGGCCCGAAGACGGTCCCAAAACGGCTCCAAGCGCACCATGGGGTTCCTCGGCCCTCTGACACTTGTTTGGCGCTCCCTGCCAGATTTGGCCCAAAATCCCTCGCCCCTTTTGTCGGTCTGGAGCCATCTCCGCGGCCTCTTGGGGCCATGCAGTGTTTCGCTCCAGCAGCCCTCTCGGGGGCCTCTTGGGCCAGCACGGGGCAAGTTGGAGGCGTCTGACGCGATCTTGGGCCGTCTGGGGCCGTTTGGGGACGACGCCCCAAATTATGTATGTGGCCATTTGGGAGGCGTCTGACGCGATCTTGGGCCGTCTTGGGCCGTTTTGGGCCGACGTTCCAAATGATGTGACGACGACGGCCACAACGATGATGATGATGATGATGATGATGATGATGATGATGATGATGATGATGATGATGATGATGATGATGATGGTGATGGTGATGGTGATGGTGATGGTGATGGTGATGGTGATGGTGATGGTGATGGTGATGGTGATGGTGATGGTGATGGTGATGGTGATGGTGATGGTGATGGTGATGGTGATGTGATGGTGATGATGATGATGATGGTGGTGGTGATGCTAATGCTGATGCTGATGCTGGTGCTGATGCTGATGCCGATGGTGCGGATGATGCTGATGATGCTGATGCTGCTGCTGATGATGAAGATGACGATGATGGTGATGATGATGATATGATGATGATGAATATGATGATGATGATGATGATGATGATGATGATGATGATGATGATGATGATGATGATGGTGATGGTGATGATGATGATGATGATGATGATGATGATGATGATGATGATGATGATGATGATGATGATGATGATGATGATGATGATGATATGGTGATGATAATAATGGTGGTGATGATGAGGAGGAGGAGGAGAAGGATGATGATGATGGTGGTGGTGATGATGATGATGATGATGGTGGTGATGATGATGATGCTGATGACGAGGAGGAGGAGGAGGAGGAGGAGAAGGAGGGGGAGGATGAGAATGAAGTCTCCCAAGAGTGAACGGTGCTACGAGCCATTTCGACTCAGTTCCTGACTCCGTGCCTGGGCTCCGCATGGGGCCCGATTCGGCTTCCTGACGCTCGCTTGTTGATCCCTGCTTTGAAAGGGGTTCGGGGGCATGGTGTGCGCGGTATGGTGCAACAAAGAGGTTGCATTTGAGACGCGTCTTTCTCCTCATCTGTGGTGTCGTTTTGCTCTGGGAAGCGAAGACAAAACGAATCTCGTGCAGTGGGAGAAGAAAAATCGTGCGTGCAAGATAGAATACATGTCCAAAGTCACTCTTATTTTTGGTCGGTCACAAGCCCTCTCCCGGGCCTCTTGGGACCCCGATGTGTTTCGCTCTAGCAGCCCTCCTGGGGCCTCTTGGGCCACTATGGGGCCATCTTCGAGCCGTGTTGGACGATCTTGGGGCAACATTGGGGCCGTCTCGGGCCGTATTGCGAAGGCGCGGTCTCGCTGCTGCCGCCCCGGCCGCCGCCGTGCCTATAGGTGTTCGGCAAAATCTCAGTCGTTCTTCCAAGAACCATTCCAGAAAGATGTCGTGGACGGAGTCCACGGGTCAGCCCTAGTCTTCTCTACAATGCAGGGACCCGTGCGTGCGGGAAGGGTCCCTGTCTCGATGGTCGTAAAATGCCCCACAACGGCTCCGGGGACGCCCCAGAGGCGCTCACGCGGCCCCAGAGGCCCCCAGGACGGCCCCAGACACCCCCAAAACGGCCCAAGAGCGCTCCAAGAGAGCTCCAGACCAGCGAAAACGGCCCCGACAAGGCCCAGGAGGCCTCCACGACGGCCCCAGAGACGCTCAAGAGGCGTCCCAGGATGGCCCCCACAGGTCCAAATCATTGTTTTTCCAACGGAAAACGTCCAATTTTAGCACACACGCACACACACACACACACACACACACACACACACACACACACACACACACTGCTTGTCGGGAGTATGGCGCAGAAGATGGGACAAGAGGCCCCTACGACCACCCCAAGACGGCCCAAGAGGCCCCCCAGAGGCACGAAAACCGGCCCGCGAGAGCGTCCAGAGACCCAAGAGGCGCCCAACACGGCCCCCAGGCGGCCCCAAGAGGCTCCCAGGAGGCGCCCAGGACGGCCCCAGACACCCCCAAGACGGCCCAAGAGCGCTCCAAGAGAGCCCAAGACCGCCGAAAACACACCCAAGACGGCCCAGGAGGCCTCCACGACGGCCCCAGAGACGCCCAAGAGGCGTCCAAGGATGGCCCCCAGAGGCGAAAATCATTGTTTTCCAGAAGAAACGCTCACTTCCAGCATGCGCTGCTTCACGGGAATATGGCGCAGAAGCTGGTTCCAGGTCCCCACGACCGCCAAAAAGACGGCCCAAGAGGCCCCCAAGACGCACGAAAACCGGCCCGAGAGGGCGTCAAGAGAGCCCAAGAGGCGCCCACAACGGCCCCAGGGTGACACCAAGAGGCTCCCAGGACGGCCCCAAGTATCCCCAAGACGCTCCAAGAGCGCTCCACAACGAGCCAAGACTGCCTTTTGCGGCGCCAAGACGGCCCAAGACGCCTCTACGACGGCCCAAGAGACGCCGAAGAGGCTTCCCAGGAGGGCCCCAGGAGGGCCCCGAGACGGCCCAAGACGCACCCAAGACAGCCCCAAGAGCAGTTAACAATGGCCCAAGACGGCCCCACCGCCCCGTCTCCAAGACGGCTGTAGATGCCCCCACCGCCCCGTCTCCAAGCCTTTCCGTTTGGACAGTCTCCAAGACGGTTTTTGGGCCGTCAGGGACGGCTCCAGAGGCGCCCGAGACGGCTCAAGAAGCACCAAAGACAACCCCAAGAGCGCCCAATATTCGCCCAAGATAGCTCCAAGACTGTCCCAAGATGCCGAGAGGCGCCCAAGACGGCCCCACATCGCCCCAAGACGGCCCAAGACGCACTCAAGATTGCCCAAGAGGGCTTCAAGAGACCCCCAGGAGGACGAAAAGGGCCCCCAAGAGGCGTTGGATGCTTCTCTCTTGGGGAGCGTCGAACTTCCAGTATCGTCTTGGGGGCTTCCTGGACCCACTGCGAGCCATCTCTGCGCCATTTGGGGACGTCTTGGGGTGGAACGCTCGAAAGGTCGATTCGTGTCCTCGCACTGGGGCCTGTCTTAGGGAGTTACGTCTCGCCGCCCTCTTGCGGGTCTCTTAGGCCGCGCCCGCTGGCCCCATTGTCACCACACTACCACATCAAATTATCATTCGGCCCCGGCGAAGAGCAGATAACTTCTCACGGCTGCCCTCCCCGCAGAAGCTATG